TTTTTTCTTTTATTTTTTTCTTAAATATGAAGAATAAATGAGATTTGAAGTAATATAAGCACAGTCAGTGGAATCAATGGATATGCTATTTAGAGTCTATCTGGGGCCATTCATTTGCATTATATTCTCAGTCTCACTCTCACAGTTTTTAGTCTAACGTGCTGTAAAAGAACATCCAAACGTAACAAATATCTAGTGTCATCAGTTTAAAAAAAAGGGGGGGGCAGGGGAAGGGTGAAAGACAGCGTACTGAACTTGTAGAAAATTCAAAAGTTAGTATGTGTACAGTTTGTCATTCTTATTTTTGTAGCAAGTTTTCTTTTCTGTGAAGTAATAACCATCTTTTTCTTAAATAGGTTTTAAATGCTAGTGAAAAGACAGCTGTAGACAACTTGTTTCAGAAAGACTCACTTGTTCGACAAAGCCAGGTATGACTGACAGTTTTTAAAAGGAAGATGGAAGTAGATAAGTAGACACTTTAATGTTTGTAACACTTCAGTTTTATGATGTAAGTTATAGCAAATCTGAGCTCTGTGCACTTTATTAAGGTGTTTTGAATACTTATTTCTTTATATTCACCTAAGCATGTTACTCTGCTTATGCATAAAAATATTTCTCTTCAGTTTCTAAAGGTCAGATACGTTTTACAGGCTAACTTGGAGAGGACAGAAGGCTGAAAGTTATTTCATTGGGAGCATCGTTACTGATGATGGTGATTAATTAACTGCTAATTAGCACTGCAGTAACTGCAGCCTCTAGTGGGAAATAGAGATTAAGCACCTGAACGATGTTCATGCTGGATACTGAAAATGAGTGGCATAGTCTCAAGATGTGCACATCTTTGGTTATGTAGGTAACACGTAGATTAAGAGATGGAAGGAAGGCAGTTAAAATATTACTTGTTATAAGTTTGTTTTAAATACGCAATTTAATTTTATTCCAGCTGGTGGTAGATTGGCTAGAGAGCATTGCCAAGGATGAAATTGGGGACTTCTCTGATAATATTGAGTTTTATGCAAAATCTGTATATTGGTAAGTTCAGGTTTTCTTTGATTATATACATGCTTCCTTCAAGCATTACATTCCCAGACCTCTTCACAGAATCACTCTTTAAAAAGTGGCTTTTTAAAAGTTGGCCAGTTCATTCATTTCTGTTTCCTTAAATTCTTATATGTAAAAATTGAATGTCTCACTGCCCCCGCCCCAGTCTGCTGAAGTGGCTCTTCTCAAAAGTCAGTTATAGCTTTTGGGAGGAGAGGATGGAGGGAGGAGAAAAAACACCAAAGCAACTTAATTTAATCTCTAACCTGGATGCAGGTTCGGCTTTCCTAATAAGGCATAATGAGAGATGATAGATGGTCACTTGCAATCAACCCGTTATTTGCACTGAGTAAACCATTCATATTATATGTTTCTAAGGTGGTCAGTTCTTTGTCTGGCTTTAATTCTCGCCTTTTCATGTTCTTGTCATTACTTAGTGTCGTTGATCCTTCTCTAGTAACCATTATTGTCATCTTTATTATCAGTGATGTCTTTTCTGTCTTGAAACTCTAATGCCTACCTTTGATTCTAGAGGCTTACAACAAACCCGGTTTTAAGGGCCAGTGAATATAGGTTTCTGGAATCACGTGTTCATCTTAAATTGAATTCGCTGTCCTAGACTGACTGTGCAGTGACTGTTAAAGGGAAAATTTTTTTCATGAGAAATCAGTTCATGGTTTAAATATATGAACAATTGAAATAATGGATGCTTTCAAAAGAAAACAAAGCTATGTGAATTGACTCCAGTATTCTACTCTGAGTGAAATTTTACATTTGCATAACAGTATCGCCGTCCATTGTTGGCAATATAAACCAAAGCATGTCTCTTCTGAAGCCTTATTCTACTCTGCCAAAAATATCTCCTAATATTTGTCTCTTATTAAAGATCTTTGCTAAATAAAATTGTCTCACTCAAAAATATTCTGCTGCTTTTAGGGAGAACACGCTACATATCCTAAAGCAGAGACAGTTAAGTACGTACATTGGAAGTTCTCGGGCTCTGGTAACGGAGTTGGTAAGTATTATTTAAGAATCAGATTTGGTTTCAAAACAAGTATAAATTGGATTAGAGAGAGCATATGTATTATTTCCACAACCTTCCACCAAATTTAGTAGTGATGTCTAAAAATTACAAAATATTAAGTTGGAAAAGATAAAAAATTAGTACAGAATTTGTGAGGCCAGGAGGAACTAGCTGGCAAGATGTTGTCAGTCAGTGA